GAATAACAAATGGATGACTAAATTGAGCGAAACACAAAAGTCTGGGACGATATTAGGTCACCAAAGTCGTTTAGGACGAAATTGAGAAAAACCACTATAGTCGAGGACGATTTTGGGTATTAACTCTTTTTGGTTTTGACTTTCTACTTTTATGTCATGTTTGGTTCGCGGAATAGGCCTGAAATGACATAATATTTTTAGTAATAGGCATATTCCTTTGTTTGGTAAAAATTTTTATTTCCAGGAACATTCTTCCTGGAAATGACCTATTCTATTCCCCTTACAAGGGGAATAGCTATTATTAAGGCCCCCGGTATTAACCTATTCCCAAGTCCTCATGAATAGATTTTATATTTTATTTCTTATTTTACCCTTCCTCCCTTTCTCTCTGTTTTGCATCTCTTTCAATAGGATTTTTCTCTAGCCAGTCTCCGCCATTGCTGAACTGCTGCAACCCTGGGAAACAACTGAACCACTCAAAATACATGACTCCATGGTTCAAGATACGTCTCTCTGGGTCGAAGTTGTTGACTCCGTGGCACTTAGGAAATTTTGCTCTGGCGATTAGAGACAAAAAAAGGTGACTTTTCGTTCGAAAAAATAAAACCGCCGATTTTCGGCACCGGCGTGCACTGTTCCGACGATCGGAACCGGAAGTTTTCTCTGCCTCGTCGAGGCGGTCACGGGGATGAGAGGCCGGCAACTCATCTCTATTGAGGAGATCATCCACAACGTCCGAAGTCAGCTGGGGGTTTTGCTACGCGAAGGCTTCGTCCTCTCCGACGAGGTGATTGAGTGCTTCCGGACTGGCGCTCCTCTGCCCAGGCCTTCACGAGCCTTCGTCCGTCCTTCCCAGAGTGTGCGACGTCCGCAGACTGGAGATCGGCCGCCATCGGAGAAAGTTCGTGATCACGACGCTGTCTCGTCATCGGCAGCTCCATTGACCATTCCGGCTGGCGACGACTTCTATCAACTCCCAGGGATCATCGCGGGGACTCAACAAAGCGACCGGCAGGATCGGATTGATGATCGGCCCCGGTTGCGACGTCGGGTGGGCCGCGACTTTTTTCGTCCTCCGAGTTTTTTCCGACGATGGAAACTGTGCAAGGGCAATCGGAGGGTGGTGGCGGGGTCGCGGCTGAGCGGCGAACAGTTCCCCCAACTCAGATTGAAGATCGCCGGCGTCCTGAAGTTGCGGAGTCAGTTTCGCCGTCGCTAGGGTTCTGCTTAGCTATGGCGGTTGGCTCGACGGCGGGTGGTTGGGACCTCACGGCGAAGGCTTGGGAGAAGACAGAGATTACTAAGGCTTGGGAGGGTTTACAATATTGTAATTTGTATTCAATATATTATTTATAAATCTTTTGTAATAATAATAATAATAATAATAATATATTTTATAGAATTAAATTTATGTCTTTAAACATATATTACATTTTTATTTCTTTAACCAATCAAATGTTGGAATACAATTCCTAAAGTCCATTCCTTCAGCGAACCAAATAATAGAATACAATTTATATTTTATTCGTTACCTATTTTATTCCCTCTAAATTCATTATATTTCGTGAAACAAAGGTGTCATTAGAGTTTTAGTACATTACACTAAAAATAATGTTTTCATTTTCAATTTAAAATAAAATGTCCAAAAGGCCCTTAACTTGTAAATCGTTTACAATGTGTCAACCGATCGACGACTACATTTGAAGGCATTGCAGACAGTATATATTAGACTAAAATTAAAATATTTTTTAATGACAAGAATTAAAAATAGATGTGATTACATTTGATGAAAAAGAAAAATATTAAAATGTTGTTATAATCGAAAGCAAAGTAAACTCCTTTTAATTCAACTATAATAACTTTTAAATCAACAACATGAATAAATATTGAGTTAAATGCATCTCATAATTATAAATATACATTTTAATTATATTAATTAAAGATTGCACGCTAATATAATTTTCCACCATTAACTAATATAAGGCCAAACCATCAATTAAGCTAGTGAAATAGGTCTTTTGTGTAAAGAATATTAATTCAATGATATAAATTTAAAGAAAAAATTTCAAATTAGTCACTGAATTATACATAAAAGTGAAATTGAAGTGCAATTAGATCTCTAAATTACCCAAAATTATGTAATATTGAAAAAATTTTACTTGTTCTTCAGGTCATCGCTTATGTGGCAGTTATCATATTAAAATAATTATTATTTTTAAATTTATTTTAATAATTTAAATAAAATTCAATAAAAGATAATAAAAAAGGAAAAAAAATCCACCCCTCCATGTCTTGTTTTCCTCTCTGGCCTAGAGTCATTTACTTCATTTATCTGTTTTTCTATTTCTCCAATTTTTCAATTTTCTTCTCTATTCCTTCAGTTTTCCATTTCTCCAGTTTTAATTTATAATGTTCATTCCACATTATTCCTCCAATTTTTTATTTTTTGATCTCTCTCTCTCTCTCTCTCTCTCTATATATATATATATATATATATATATATATATATATATATATATATATATATATATATATATATATATATATATATAATTTTCTTAAAAATAATTTTATAATTAGTTTCAAAACATAAAAAAGGTTCAATACACTAATAATAAATGTAAAAAGGTAACAAAATTATTAAATAAATTACAATTATTTCAATCATTTAAGTACGTAGTTTGATTACATTGATTACACATCAAAATACGCAAAACCTCATTAAATACAATCAACCCATATAGCATTTGTACACTAAATAATAATAATAATAATAATAATAATAATAATAATAATAATAAATCATTATTATTATTATTATTATTATTATTATTATTATTATTATTATTATTATTATTATTATTATTATTATTATTATTATTATTATCTACAAATCTACAAATCTAATAAAAGTCAATAAAGTTAGGCCCTTAACGGGAACGAAAAAATGTTGGTGTAATTTTTTGTTGAAAATCTTAAAATGAATGGTTCATATTATTTTAATTTGAGTATTTTTATGATTTTTCTTATTTACCCTCTATTATATTATTTTCTTCCCTTAAATAACTCTGCATTTCAGTAGTATAATCTTTAGTAATGAAATATCCCGTTAACTATTTTTTATTCTTAACTTACTCATTAATTTCTATAAGAAGGTTTTTAGGTTCGATTGTTCGAATCCCACCCCAATCAGAATTGACATAATTGTTAAACATATACTACTAATATATTAAAATGTATTAAAAATACAATATAAAATTTAACATAAACTTTGGTCAAATAATTAACCCGACTAAATACATAGCATTCGAAGTTGAGCATCAAAGATTATAAATCAGGAACCATGAAAATCATTTTCTTGCCTTTAAAAAAAATTATGTTAAGTTTTTTTTTTCGTTTAATTAATCTTTTATTGATTATATTTAGAACAAGACTCAATATTTTAATTACGTTTTTGCATTATTCGAGTGATGATAGTACTAATTCCCCCCGCTCGTATAGGATGTATGTACTGTATGTATATGTATGAACAATATGATAGACAAGAAGATGTAGAACCAAGTACTCTTTTATTCATGTTGTTCTCTTGCATGTATCAATAGAGAGAAGGAGGAGAGTACTAAGGTTTATATAGAGAGAGAGAGTGACCAAGGGGGAAGCCCCTAAGTTGGAGGGCTAGAAGCCCTTTTATAGGCGCAAGGAGGTGGCGGGTTTGACCCGTCACCTTTGACCTTGACCCTTAGACCGGGATCAAACCGTTTGATCCCGACCCGACTATAAGCGGAAATACGGACCCGGGGTATATAACTTATCAAGAATCCCCCCTAGCCCGTGCCCTGATGATGAGCTAACGAGGAAGGGTTCGGGCTGGAAAAACTGGTTACACGGTCCGTGACATGTGTCGGTTTTGATTACCGCGTTAATAACTACGGCTTGCTCTTGAGAACTACGAGTTACTTGGTCAGGCGCTTCCCCTTTTTCGCACTCGGTTTATGAATCGAAAGTCCCAAGCGGAGGGACACTAAGAATGGGGCCGCTAAGAGACCCGAAGGTCTAACGATGAAGAGACCACGGAGGTCATTTTTGATCGAGAATTGATGACGAGGCCGGGAAAGTCGGTCAACTTAAGAAGAGTTTCGGTAAACGAGCTAAGTCGGTCTACTCGGGAAGTGCTTTTGGTGAAACGAATGCGATTCGACCGACGAGCAAGCTAAGCGCTTTGGTGAAATGAATGCGATTTGACCTATTGATGAACGACTCGGTCTACTCGCGATGCGCTTTGGCGAAACGACTGCGATTCGACCGGCGAGCGAGCTAAGCGCTTTGGTGAAACGAACGCGATTCGACCGATCCACTAGGGAAAACTTATTAGAATTAGATGTCTATAATGCCTATAATGCCTTTATTTAAAAAAAATTATTCATTATACAAATGTTTAAAAAAGATATAATTTCATTAGTTATATTATCTTTATTTTCTACAATTCAAAGATTCCTTACCTTCAAATTAATTAATTAATTATATTCACTACATTGTCCATTGTCTTCTTTTTATACTATCTTGTAATTAAATATCAAAGTTATAATAAAAAAATATGTTATGTATTTATTTACCAAGTATTTTATACAAATATAATAAATTTTAAAATTTTATTTGTGATTTTATACAATCCTAATTGCATTTTTTAGTTGGATTGCCTAAAAAAAAATTGCGATTCTAAATAGCATGGAGCTGATAATTAAGAAATAGTTTGGTTAAATATAATGACTACAAAAGACGCCAGGCGTGGGTTTAACCATGGTTAGGTGATTGATTGATTGTTGAAGTTAACCATGGTTACTTATCCTCTTCATTCTTTTTAAAGGCCTTACCTCACAACATTAGATACCCATACACGACACAAACAAACGGAAGAAATCAATCTATTTATCAGACCCAAATTCGAAGAGAAAAGAAGAGAAGATCAGAGCAGCCTTTTCTTTTACTCTGTTTGTTTGTTTATGGCGTTCTACATGGAAGAAGAGGAGGTGTGGAAATGTCCAAAACACCCCTCCAAGCGTCGGAGGAACGGCATCTGCCCCGTCTGCCTCAAGGATCGCCTCGTCACCCTCTGCCCTGACTGCGCTAACGTGCGCCCCTGCGCCTGTTGCGCCGCCGCCGCCGCCGCCACCTCCTCTTCTTCCTCCGCTTCCTCCTCCTTCTCCCTCTTCTCCTCCTCCTCCTCCCGCGGCGAGCCCGCCTTCCAGCGATCGAGATCCGTCGGAATCCCTTTCCTCCGCTCCCGCGGCCACGCCCTCTCCGGCTCCGTCCGGTGGAACCCGCCGCCGGAGACCGCCAAGAGCAGCAAGACGCCGTCGTCCTTCTGGTCAATCCTCCGGCCTTCGAGTTCTGCTTCCACCAAGAACAAGAGCCGGAAGGAATTGGTGGAGGAGAAAGAAAACCAGGAATTCAAATCCAGTTACTTCACCGGGAACGGTTATGGCGACGAGAGAATCGAGGAGTTTACGCGGATGATGATGAGATCGAGATCGGTAAGCGTGGCAATGACGTCAGTTCCCGGTGACCCCAAGAAGGCCGGTAAAGGGTGGCACTTTCCGAGCCCGATGAAGGTTTTCCGGCAGTCCAAGGCTGCAAAAGTGGTTCAAGAGCGTTCTCCGTTGTATAGAGGTTGACTGGTTCAGTTTTATTTTATGGGGATTTTTTGTTTTTATTTTTTTTTCCATCTTTTTACTATTTGTACTTTTCTGACTACACATAATATGAAAAATGAGTATTAAATAACTAGCTAGCAAAAGTGCACTGCTAATAATATAATTGTAATTGGTTTTATTATAATATGTAAATTCTTGCAGCTTCTGTATTTACATTTTTTAAATAAATATAAAAGAATCTCATTATATTATACCAAATTAAATAACTAAAATACCAAATTACATTATTCCAACAATATTAATGCATTCTAATTAATTATTTATTTGATAATTAACCATAGTGTGTTATGTTAGATAAAACTTTTGTAACCAAAAATAAATTGTAATATTACTACACTTATTTTGAAAAAAAAAAATTAAAAATTTGAGAATTGATGGCTAAACCATTTGCACGGAGTAAGATGATTTACACAATTTTGCTCTCAAAGTTTAGTGTAATTGGTTTCTCGTCTGACTTGGGGTCATGACGGAAGGCGACAGTGTGGGGTTCGAATCTCACTGGATGCTGGAAAGTCTGAATTGGATCCCTTACGCGCACATAAAGACTAGAATATGACCGGTGGGCTGATTGTGCGACTTGCAATTTACCTCCGATCCATAGAAATTAGAAACTCTAGAGGCGGGATTCTATGGGCTTAAGATTATTCCAGCTAAGCTAGAATCACCTAAGTTTAAATAGAAAAAGATTTATACAATTTTTATTTATTTGAAAAGTATTGATAATAAGAACTCCTAACGTTTATATTTAATGTTGCCCGATTGAGATTTGATCGAATTAGTCTTATGTTACGGGAGGATAACTGAGTTAACTAGTTGAAGTGGTTTTTTTGAAAGACTAGTTGAAGTAGTTGAATATATTGAAGATAATAAATATTTATTAATAAGATTTGGTCAAATAATTGGTACATGGTTGTTGGTTAAGGTAGACTTAGACTACACATTCTATTTGGTAAAATTGGGAATAGAATTGAATTGAATTTATAGTTAGTTGGGGGCTAAAGGTGGGTCAATTCACAATAATCACAAGAAGAAAACATGTTGTGAGAGGATTACTTAGCAAATGTTGATAAGAAGGAATTATAGGGGTTTTGTTATGAGGTCCATACAATTGTGTTGTTATGAGGTGCACATGCAAGGTGGTGTTGTCTATGATTTACAAATGCATGCCAAACACATCAAGCTCACAGATTAGGTAATAAATCTTTTCTAATACAGTCAATCCCCTTGTCCCATATCATGCAATTGCACATCAACCCACCTAGCTTTCCTTAATTTCTATTATCATACAACCATTTTTTATTTTTTTGTTGTCACATCTAAAAATATCGTCGATAGAAAATAAAGAATAGGAAAACTGTTTAAATTGACCACTAAACGATATAAAAAATGCATTAGGGAGTTGAATTAAAAAAAAAAAAAAGAGTAATTGACACCCTCAAGAAGTTAAACAGCATGCAATAGGACCAAATAACATGGTAATCTTGTTATTATAACTGATTATGTATCATTTTTTTTGTCATTTCTATTTATATTTACTAAAATTATTATATATTTAAGCGTCTCTTTATTAAAAATTTTCATTCACAGTTATCGTCCAGATGAAATCATCGTTTTATGTCAATTTGAGACAAACACATAAGCAAGTTTCATCTTCGAGATCCTGAGAATGAAGCAACAAGCTCTGTATTTGATTGAGATGAAACATGATTTTATCTGATCTCGGCGATGAGTGTGATTGAGGTTTTTTAATGAAGAAATGCTTAGATGTATAAGAATTTTAGTAAATATAAATAGAAATGGTAATACAAAAAAAAATATGATACATAATCAGTTATATAATAATAAGTTCCCAAAAGGAATCGTCACTTGTGGGAACTGAACCGGGATTATCCCAAAATTCTTCTCCACAAAGAAAATTTATTTACCACTTGAGCTACCCTATTGAGTTGCTTAAAAAACTTGTTATTTGGTCTAATTGCACGCTTTTAACTTGTTAAGGGGGTCAATTGTACTTTTTAAAATTTAATAGTCTAATTGTAGTTTCTTCTATAGTTTGTAGTTAATTTGAACTTTTTTCCTAAAAAATAATAAGCTTATTTTTGTAATCCATTTGTCTAATTTTACTTGCTTTATTTATTATATAATAGTCAAACTAACTCTTTTTTTTTTTTTTTTTTTTTTTTTTTTTGCTTATTTTCTTTAATATTTTTTTTACTTATTTTTAAATTTAATTTTTTTTTATCTTTAATAGTACTTTTAATTTAGTTTATAAATATATAAATTTTTTTATATTAATGCTAAACTTAATATTATGAAAAATTGAATTAAAAATAATTTCAAAAAATCTTTGTTAACTGAATTAGACATATAAAATGTGATGGAGAGAGTAATTTAAAAGATTTTGTTAAGTAAGTGGATCTCTTTTAAATATGATGTAACCAAAGTTCAAGGTAAAAAGAAAAAAAAAAAGTTGTGATGCTAAATGTAAACATATTTTTGCAAACAAATTTACGCAGCAATAGTTTGATTTCATTAATTTCTATCCATTGATAAATTCACAAATAAAATAAATAAATATAATTTTTTTTAATAAATTCGTATTTTCCAAATCACACGGCAATTTATATCGTGAATCAAAGTTCACATAGTATTATGGACCCTAGATCGAAACTACGTTATTTTGATATTTAGGCTTTAACAGATTTTGCAGTTTTTCATTTTTTTATGTTTCTACACAAATACTGATATATTTCAGGTGCAGAATATACACAAGATACAAAAATTCACAATACAAAACACATACACATGTTATATATTTACTTATTTTTTAAATCTGATTTAGATAGAAATTTTATGTTATATGGGCACTACATATTTTCACAATACAAGACAAATTCATAACATAAAACACACAATATGTTGTGTGTTACACAACTACTAATCTATTTCAGGTACAAAATTCATACTCTTAAGGCACAGAATTGCATAATACATGCAAGACACAAAAACTCAACACAAGACACATACATGTACATGTTATATATTTCAGGTACATAATTCATACTCTTAAGATACAAAATTTCATAACACAAGATACAAAAACTTACAAACAAGACACAAACACATGCTTTATTGTTAAAAAAAAAAACATATGACGTGAACTGAATAACAAACCGTTACAGTTAAAATTAAAATTCAAAAACAAAGTCGTACAGGATAGGATCAACAGTACACTATGGACCCTAACGCACGATATAAAAATTGGAATCACACAATAAAAAAATTTACACACGTTGTTGGTTGGATGGACAAAATATTATTATTTAACTAATTAAAAGCTCTCCTATTGTGACTTGTGAGCTAATTCAAATATAGCACAATACAAAATATACACACGGTTACGACTAAGCCCAATTATTATACTAATGAAAACTTTCTCCTATTGCAAGCTAATGAAAAATCTTCAACTAACTTGTTATGTATTTTTCTAACAAAAAATATGTTTATTCATTAAATCAAATTTAAAACTCTTGCATAAAGACAACTACAAAGTCTTCTCACTAAATCTCCACACCAAGAGCAAATACAAAACATGAAAATCTAGTACGGATCAAACTTGCCTTGGAATCTTTTATATATATATATATATATATATATATATATATGTTGAAAAAGACTTAATTCAAGCCCGAGCTCGTGTGCGCCGGCACGAATGTCGTCCGAAAATTGGCAGGTCTTGCGAGCTAAGTTATGCCAAACTTCGGTATCATTTTTTCAACATATCATTTTTCCACTACGCCACTGGAATGTTTCGGCTTTGAGGGGCCGAAACTGAACAGCACGGCCTTGTGGCCGAAACATCCAACAACGGCCTTGTGGCCGAAAGATGTTTCGGGCCTATGCCAGAAAGATGTTTCGGCCTTGTGGTTGAAACATTGAGGCCGAAACTGGGTGAGGTCGAAAGTTGAGGCCGAACCTTGTACGCCAATGGTCTGGAACCCGAAAGTTCTGACTGTTGTGGAGATTGAATTTATCTATTACGGAATTAATTTTCTATTAATTTCAATTTTGAATTCTGAATTCAATTCTCAGGTAGTGGCCTGCTGTTGTAGCTGTTGGAAAGCCAGCTTTAATGTCAGTTTTAATTGCCGTAATAAAAACTATTAAAACATTCACCCCTATATAAGAAGGAGTTGAGCAGTAGCAGATTTATACAACAAGAAAGTAACAAGAAAGTAAAATTTTCAGCCTCAAAACTCTCTGCTTCTACTCTTTCTTAAGCCTATTGTGTTCATAACCTTGCTTTGTTCGCCGGATTCCTTGTTTGGGTGCTCAAACATTGAATCGCAGCAAGTTTTATCCTGGGAAGCCTAGGCCAGAACGCTCCTAGCACTTTTGGGAGGTGGCAAATAAGGTTTTAAGGAAAGAATGATCGCTTGACTCTTGCTAAAAACCCTACACCAAACACTAGCCAATCTCTTCATCTTTCCTTCCCCTTTTTCCAGAAAAATAATAATATTATTTTATTGGATTATTATTTGTTTTCACCAACGGATTTCCCAACAATCTTAAAAGCTTATATCTTCGTTTTCCCGTTGGTGGTCTTCTCCGAATTTCATTGAAGAAAATGGAGCATCCCGTACTGCCAATCGATGGGAAGGAAAATGTTGTTGAGAACAACAATGGTGGGAACGGAAACAATGTTGCAAATTCCCAAGCACCACCAGTAAATGTTGGTTCACAAGATGGTGGGAGCACCGAGGGATATATTCCCATGACTCGGGTACCTTCGGTACCGAGCGGATCGGCTGAAAAGCCGGAGAAGTTCACCGGTGTTGGGTCGAACTTCAAGAGGTGGCAACAAAAGATGTTGTTCTACCTAGCAACTCTCGGCTTGGCAAGGTTCTTGTCCAAGAGTGTTCCTGAGTTGAAGGAACAAGATGCACAATCCGTGATGGCAG